TTCAGCACTGAGCTCTAACTCACTACAATTCTCTACTTCAGCACTGACCTTCGGAGTTCACCAACACCTTCTATTGTGATGCTGCTGCCAGGCCACTTGAGTGCAGGGACAGGGACCAATCTCATGGTTGGTGCAGGGTGCATCTCAGGGTATTTACTCACTCTCTTACTGATTATTCACTTTGCACCTGCTTGGATGTTCATAATCTCACCATCTTGCCTTGCCTTTTAAGACAGAGACAAAGCCAGTCTGCTTGTTGTTTTTGTCAGAAGTGATCAATCAAGTGGGTTGGGGGGGCGTTATGTTGCTGCATGGCACCATGCTACACCAATGTCACCCCTACAGCATATGCCGGCAACTTACATGGTACACTCACAACATGCTTCACCCAAATGGCCACGTCACAAAGTCTAAGGAGAGTAGTCCTCAGTCAAGTTAAGGACGACTGTGGTCAGGCAGAAGGGTTATGACAAAGTAAGTCAACAGCATCATTTTATGTCAGTCTAGGAGTTTGGATACAGTCAGGCATGTGCTTGGGGTGACGACCATCAGAGGTTCCATATCATTACCGTGCAGGGAGTCAGTCTTGCAGGTCCAGTACAACTAGCCAGAGGATGACTGGTCAGTCAGTCAGGGGTTTGGTCATTCATCAGTCAGAGCTGTGCTTTCAAATCGGTTAGCGGGGAAGGCCATGGTCAGCCCTGAACAATGACAAGATGTAATGCTATGCTTGGTGCTAGGGAAAGTCAGAGCCCTAATGTAGTATGGTATTAAGAATGGGTAACCCAGTAACCGCAAGTGACAATGATAGTTCATCAAACAGATGCTGATGTAAAGTAGCAACACAATTGCAAATGTAATGTTCTATTTCAAATGATTCTATTTCACCTATACCACCGATGAGCTCTCTGAAGCTTTTCTTTTTTGTTTCTCTCTTACTACGTGTATTGTGACGGCCTATTTGTGGCTGACAACTTTAAATATGGTGCCAACAGTGGGAATCCCAGAACATCCCAGCAATGGCAAATATGTCCGCTGCTGGTGAGAGAATGAAAGTGTAAGTGAGCGGCTTAGTACATATGTAATGAGGTGAGCTGCGGTGCTAGTGAGACTGTGCCTGGAATAATAACGTATCACTTTTGTCCCCATACCTGAGAAGGGATGTAGTGGCACTGGAGGCAGTTCAGAGGAGATTTATGAGATTGGTTCCAGAGATGAGGGGTTTGTCTTTTGAAGAGAGATTGAACAGTTTTGGCCAATACTCTCTGGAGTTTAGAAGAATGACAGGAGATCTAATTGAGGTAAATAAGATGCTAAAGGGGATTAACAAAGTAGACGTACAGAGGATGTGTCCCTTCGTGGGGCAACCTAGATGAGAGAGTATAGTTTTAAAATAAAGGGTAGTAAGGAGAGGAAGAAAAATGACTTCTTTCGAAGGCTAGAATTCCCTACCCCAGAGTACACTGAATACAGGACATTGAGTAGATGGGAATATTTCATTAATAATGGGTTGAAGGGTTATGGAGAGTATCAGAAAAATGAAGTTGAGGACAAGATGAGATCAGTCATGATCATATTAAATGGTAGAGCAGGCTGAATTACCTACTTCTGCTCCTAGTTCTTATGTTCTTATGAGCTGGCTGAGATAGCTCATTGGAGTTTGTGAAGAGAAACTTTCCATGGGACTCCCTGGAATTGATACTGAGCCAGTCTTTTAGAAGATACCAGCCCATGGGTTTTGCTAAAACATTGAAGTGCAAAGAAATGGCACATAGGAAATATTTCACAGCTGGCACAGCTTGTCAATTACTATTTACTCAAAATATCTTTTGTTCTTGAACAAGATACTTTGAAACCAGGAAGGCCAATTGACTAATTCATTTATATATTTCAACAAGCAATTCATTATTTTTAATTAATTCATGGGATGTAGGCAGCACTGCCTGGCCCAGAACTTACTGCCTATCCCTAATTGCCCTTGACAGGAAGTTCAATAGATTGTTTCTAGAGATGAAGGGTTTGTGAGAGTCTTCTTGAAGAGCAGCAGTGAATTTACTGTAGGTACACCCACAATGCCATCAAGGAAAGAATTCCAGGATTTTTGACCCAGCAATAGTAAAGGATCAGCGATATATTTCTGAGTCAGGATGATGATTGGCTTGGAGTGGAGCTTGGAGGTGGTATGTTCCTAAATATCTGCTGCCCTTGTTCTTCTAGATGGCAGTGGTCATGGATTTGGTCTAAAATGCTTCCCAGATCTTTACCTTCATTGCATGTTAAGAAGATAAAATTTCTGGTGTTAGTTTTAAATATATTCAGTGCAATAAGTTCATTAATATTGAGAATTTGCCTTTTTCATATCCATAACCATTGTATAATTACACAAGGTCAACTCCCAGAAGTGCTTTTTTTCTCTGACCAGAATGCCCAGATTTCTCCAATCTGTCATCACCAGTTAGCCTGTGACATGAAGGATTTCTGTTTTAGTTTCCTTGATTAGACCACATTATCAATCTTTGAGCCTTTAGTTCCTTGCTTGCAAATCCACCTCACAAATGCTACAAGATAATATTTTCCTTAGTCTCTCTCTCAGCATCCTGTGATATCACATATCACAAAGAATTTCTTCATTTTGAAGTTTTATTGTTTTAAGATTTTAATCTCATTTATACCAGCCAATAATTTTGCTATTACCACTACTTTGACAAGTCTGTAGTTCTTATTTCCTTCTCAAATTTTTAGTTCTTTCATTCACCATTTTAGGTTTTTTTATTTCAATTTCTATCTAAGAAGCTCCATTCTTGTAACTTCCTTTCTCTTTGCTCATATGACCTTTCAAAACCAATGGCAATGGTGTTCAAAAATTCCCTGCAACTCCCCTGTCTAAAACCACAATGGCTAACAAGATTGGATTCTGCCTGCATTTGACAATTACCCAGTGGCAATCAAGTGTGTGTGGCTTCTGTCTAGTAAAGCACCAGCATTATTCCCCAGCAAGAGTTGAATGGTGACCATGCTAAGAAAGATTTGTTGCCTTTATTCCTGTGAAGAAGAAAATCAGCCTAAAGGATATTTTCCAAGTTTTATAAGAAAGTGAAAATCGAAAGAACTGTGGATGCTGTAAATCAGGAACAAAAACAGAAGCTGCTGGAAAAGCTCAGCAGGTCTGGCAGCAACTGTGAAAAAAAAAATCAGAGTTAACATTTCGGGTCCGGAGACCCTTCCTCAGAACCCTCTGAGGAAAGGTCACCGGGCCTGAAATGTTAACTCTGATTTTTTCTTTACAGCTTGTACCAGATCTGCTGAGCTTTTACAGCAACTTCTGTTTTTGTTCTGTGTTA